TATCTGCAACAGAATTCAGTGCAACAGTACCTTTTGAGGAAAAGAAAGCTCATTGGGTCTTAACTTTATGACCTAAGACTCCCCGACCCACACTACCACGTTGCCTTTAAGGACATCAGTGATCTCACAGTTGAGCTTGTTGAGCCGTCCGTCCAGGATGAAGAGGGACTCTCTGGAGGGGGTCATAAGGTACTGTCCGAACAGTCCACTGCCCGCCATTACCCTGTTTCTACTGCTCCATTGCCAGTCGAACGACTTGGTGGCCTCTTTCAAGCTCTTTATCATCTTGACTTTGCCGGTGCTCAACTCCACATACAGAGCGTCAGTTTGACGGCCAGAGCTGCCAAACACGTTGTACTGGTGGACTTCAGTGAAGGAGCGCTGGAAAGCCAGATCAGAAAGGTGCAGGTTGGTGTGGATGTCAAAGGGCTCTTGGATCTCTCCCCGCTCTGAGATTATTTGGATCCTCATTAGGCCGTCGCCATCATCTACAGTGACCAAGTAATGGCCGTCTGGAGACACGTAGGGAGTGCCGGTGACGTCATGGTTTTGGCCGATCACACTATCTGTTACACTGTCCAAGATGAGTTGGGGCTGCGTGGCGCCGGTGGAGTCAGGCCTGCAGTTGACAAAGTAGTAGCCGCCAAGATGGGTGTACGCTATAGACTTGGGGATGCAGTTATACTCCTGTAAACTGATGTTCTTCACATACGATGTCGTCTCCAGGTCGATCTTGTGGAGAACAGGCTCATTTCGATGAAGGATGAGGCCAAATCTGTTGACAATTTAAAGAAAAAAACAAAGAAAAACACAGAATCAATAACACATTTTGTCTTATTGTAAACAATTTCTTTTTGAGAGACTGGAGATGGCAATGTCGCTCAATCGGTCCACCACTTTGGCCCAGACTGAAATATTTTAACAACTACTGAGTTGATTGCCATCAAATTTGTTTCAGTCATTCATGCTTATCAGAGGATGAAGTGTATTAAGTTTGGTCAAGACCCAATTTTAATCTACTTCATTATATATCCAGTAGTGCTGTGTATTGGTGTGAATCTGAAAATACCATAGCAGGGGTTACAATTCAGTCACAATATATTACTACTACTAATATATTACGACTTAAAAACTAAATATCACAATACATTTTCTTACACCCCTATTATCCAGTGAAATGAACATCTACAAGATAGACTGGTGTAAAATGTTCTATAGGCAATGACTGTTATCAAATGATGTATCCTAAAAACTTTTTTTTGGTGAAATGTCCTGACCACTCCTGCCAAGTCCCTTAACTTTATAATGCCATCCTCAGGTCACATTTTTATCCTGTCCAGTACTTTAGTTCATGATGAAATACCCCCACCCCAGCAGCGTCAGATGTACTCTGTGTTTAGTGCTACATAGCATGACAAAATTATTTAATAATTACAGTTGATTATAATTTTTTTTTGTGCTGTCTTCACAAACAATCAAACTTTTTTGGATGTTCAGACGGCAGGAACACTTATAAATACGGAGTAAAAGTGATTGTAGGGTAATTTAATCATGCAGTGTGTCTGAAAATCATTTTTTAAATATATTTTAACTAAGGAAAGTGCCGGTAAAGAGTGTTGATTGCTTTTGTTTCTAAGGCTCATGCAAGCAGCAAGTGGTAGCATTTTAAAATAAAGCAGCACAATCTACATATCAAGAGTCAAACTGAGAGAAGAAATGCAAATTGATTGGTACTGGGTAATTATGAAAATTGAACTGGCATAATGTTAGACATGTTCAGAAGAAAAAATAATAATGTGGCTTAAAGCTCCATTTAACCACTTCAACAGCCCAATTCTGCTCCCTGACAATCTTCATATTGGCGGTATAGCATCAATTACACTTCCCACCCCTAATAGAATTATAGCAGTTTTATATGTGGGGCATTGATCAGTGAAAATGCTAGTCATTAAAAAAAAAACAAAGAATCTGTTAATGGCACATTACATTTTAACAGCTGAACAGGGTAGAGGGGGGATATGCAAGGAGCTGACAGGCCTCAATTAAATGTGAATACTAGCTGATCGATGCTGACAGGCACTTCAATCTTGCCGTCATTCATCATATTTTATGCCGTTTGAACACCATGCTGTCTGTACCTGTGAACAGAAAATGGCTATTTGAAAGCCACAGAGCACATTATCATCCCTGTGGAGGGACTCATTGATCCAGAGATCATTTTGTCCACTGGGTCCAGGCTCTAAGGTCATCATAGACCAGATCTGTGTGGGGTTATTCCGTTTTTCTTTAAATGGAGTCATTGACAAAAAACTGAAACTTTGTGCACACAAATGAACAGGAGTTAGTAAGTTAAAAGACCTTTAATATAATGCCAGGCCAATTCTTAACCCACAATTGGTTGTTCCTGGCTTATTTCTATGCAAGCCAAAGTCCTGCCAGATTGACGTTTTGTAGCTCCTGGACAATATGCTGGATTTGTGGTATGTCAGAAAGTTTGGTCAGCTCTACAGTCTGATTTCCCACATGGCAGCTGTCAAAAGAAAAACTGTAGTGTGCTTGTTGTAACATTTTTGGAGTAGTATTTTACATTTTGTGGTTACCTGTAGTCTTGACGGAGACTGATGTGATCGAAATAAAACGGAACTTCACTGAAAACAGACGATTATTATTGTTGTGGGTTCACTGCAAATCAAGTTTGTCCTTGTGTCAATCTTGAAATATTTATGACAATTGTGATTTTTCTGATATTGTCACTGGAAACTGAAAAAGAAAAATGACCTCAACCAGGCTACAATTATTTTATGAGTCATATTCTTATTAAGCCTCATGAATAAGGACAGATTTTCTATTTACAACAGTTAGGTCAGTTAAATCGGAGGTCCTGGCAAAATCTTTCTAAATCAAAGGAGGCCCTCTGACACTAAACAAAACGGTTGTTACTACGTCCCACCCATATTAAAAAAATAAGCTCCAAACAGGTGAAAATTTAGAGAGGAATAATTTTTAACATGTACTGTGCAGTTTGAACCTGCAATCCATTCTCATTCACTGGGAGAGGGGAGCAGATGATTTATAGACTGTCACCACTACCCGTCAAACTCTCTTTAAATTGTTTTGCTCTGTATTGTGTTCAGTATTGTGGCTGTTGTGACAGATCAATGGGTAGTGTGCGCATACTGTGATATTTTGCTAGCATGCTTGGAAGCTTAAGGTCAATCGTGCATTTATCCTGCAGTAAAAATATTATTTTCACTAACAGAGATATTTTTTCTAGTATGATAAATTAATAATCAGACATTGTTTGGCCTTGCTCTAATGTGAGCACAGCTGGGTTGCTTTATTGGCAGACCCAGATTGCTGTCAGCCAAACTGACAGCTGCTGTTTGTCGTTTGTACCAATGATTAATGCATTAAAGATTCTCCCTGGTTCTGCACAACAGGGTTATGTTAAACTATTTAACATTTTATCATCTTATCTACATGTCAATATTTTCAGTTTAGAAATGACTGGGACTCAATACTTTGCTCCAGAGTTCAGTTGAAGATCCTGAGGGCAAAATTTATCAACAAGGAACAGAACAATGAATGCTGCACAGTAAAATATATCTATAACACAGCAATTCTTGTTCACCCATCCTGTAGCGCAAATACATCGAATCAACATCTCGCTTGGCTTGTTTTGCCAAAAGGCAGTCTGGCAGTGTACTGTAGATGTGGGTAAAAATAAAAAATAACAGCTTTTTTTGCTGACATGCAGAGTTGCCTGACTGTAAGTCGATGGTTGTAATGAATGACAGCCCCCAGAAGTTCCTGCTCGCTTTATAGTAGCTGCTGAGGGAATCCCCAGTCATTAAACAATCCCCGGAAGTTGCTGAATATATGTCTTCTGTTCATGTTGCTAAATCGACTAATCAATGCTGCATTGCTGCTAGCAGACGAATGGCTGTGTGGCTACTAGATAAAAAATAAAATAAAATCTGAGCCACAAGGCAGCAGTTAATTTAAACTTTCCCAACAACAGCTGTCTGAATAAAAAACATCCATGCACATGTATAGACCTAAAGCTCTTTGTGTACTTGAGTTGTATACTGATATATTCTCCTGGCAAATATACAGAAGACTACTTCCTACCACTGTTAGAAGGCTGAATTATGAGTTTGTAACAAAATTACATGGAAAGCCAACAGCGTCTCAGGGTGCTACTTCCATCTGCTTTCAGCTAAATGTAGTGAATCAAATAATAAATTAAGCAGAAATTTGTCTGAACCCCCACTGACTGAGCAGGACAAAACATTAGAAACACATAATAATAATAATAATAATAATAATAATAATAATAATAATAATAATAATAATAATAATAATAATAAAAAATTTTATTATTATTA